ACGGCTCTGAGAACCATACTAATACTATGGATTAAGACTAGTTTCGTTTGGTGTTCCTAAGTTAGTGCAAGTTGAAAAATATGAAAAAATAAGAGAAGAACATTTCAAGATTATATTGTTTCCAAGTATGAATCAATTTGTTTAACCCGCGATTATTACTAACCGACTTGGTCATTGGCTTGCACACTCCATTTAAAATAGGGGTGACAACAGGTCGGTTCGGGGCAGATAGTGCATATTCATTACCTTATCCAAAGTAATTTGGGTTTTTATCCATATCCACATAACAATCGGGTAAAAAATTAAAATAATTCTCATATTCGTTCGAATTTCAGGTATCCACAGTTATACATGGATAATAATTTCTCTTTATAACTCCAACTAACATTGTTAGGATATGACTTGAATTTGATTTGATTTTGTATTGTGTTTTGGGTCTATTCTGTTTGGGTTTTGGTTTTGTTTTCGCCTTCTCCTTATAGGTTTGGAAAATGTATTTGGTTTTCTGTTTGGGATTAGGAGAAGAGTTATATAAATTGTAACACCCCGAATTTTGGGATATGGTTCGACCATAAAACGTGATCGGTTGGGTTGTCAGCTGCGTACTAAAAGTTGCAATCGCGGATTAGTAGTAGTAATAATAATAATAATAATAATAATAATTATTATTATTTTATTATAAAAAAATTATATAACGCGGACCTGGGGCCGAGGGGCCGGCCCTCTCTATATCCCGAAAACCTGTCTATTCCCCCCCCCCCCCCCCCGACCCTCTCTATTTCCCCAAGCAAATAAACCCCCGCCGCCTCTCTAGGTAAAGATCACGAACCCCTTCGAGATCTCTAAACTCGATTTATCGATAGCCTAATACGAAACTCGTATTTTATTAGCGGTGACGTTTGAGGGTTCGAACATCAATCAACAAGGAGAGAAACGTCCCGGGTCGTCCAACCTAGGCCTAGGCACGTTCTAGAGGTAAGGGAAGTCGATCCCTTTGAGTTAGATCGATCGATTTGGTGATTTTTCGTGAGGATGCAATTATGAGGTTTTAGCAACAGACGTTCAGGCCTTTAGTGACAGATTTTGGGTGGTCACTAAAGATGCTGGGAATTTTCAGAAATTTGTTTTAGATGGTTTAAATTTTTTCGAGTCTTTATGGGGGTTTTTCCTGAGTTTTAAAATTTTATAAATTGAGGGAGGTCTAGGAGATGGTTGTAATTTAATTTTGGGCATTTTTGAAGATGTAGTTTTAATTTTAGATATTGTTCGAACATTCGCTTTAATTAAAAACAAATATTTCCGAGGAGTTTATAAGGGTTTGATAATTTTCCAGGCTATAAGTACTCATGATTGATGTAAGAAAATTATTATCCAAATTTTTAAGAAGGTTCAAGTTAGGTGGAAAATTCGTCCAAGACTAAAATAATTAGGAAAAGTGGTCGGTTTTGAAGGGATTGTTTCTAGAAAATTTTTAAAGGGGGTTAAGGGACCTTGGGAGCGAGTCTCGAGGGCTGGATTTTCAGGAGAGGATGTTCTAGTGACCCAACAGGGAATTCTAAATCAAGAAAGGTCGACTAAGGAGATGACTTTCTTATTATTAGGTTCACCGAGATAATTCGGCTAGGAGGGATTTCTTCGAGTAAGGAATCGAGGAGTCATCTTCACAAGGTGAGTGTAAAGGGGGTAAATTCTACGCCTTACGTGTTCTTATAAGAATTGCAAGCCTTAAGTATTTTGATGAAGTGATTGTCGTTGCTTGTTTGTGCTTATGGTTGATGGTATGTGATTTTGTTTGAGCTATGGTTGATGTGAATGTGCATGAGTTCTTAGTTAATTTAAATCTTTCCGTTTATAAGTTATTGTTAAAGTTAAGAAACAATTTATTTTTAAAGAAGTAGCTCACCTTCAAGAAGGTAAAGTCGTTTTAAGTGGTTTTAGTCACTAGCGCCAGTCCGTTGCCTTTTTAGACATTTTGAGATAGAGCAGCAGTTATGCTCTTGAGACTTTTAAGATGAGCAGCAGTTATGCTCTTGAGAATCGTGGTGAAGAGCCACCACAATAAGTTTAAGATGTTATGGGGATGAATCGTTACGACTCCCCTAACTAAGTTTAAGTTTAAGGAAAGCCTGAATGGCTTCTCATACGTATGAGTTGGCAACCGGACTAGCTAGTGAGGGATCCCAGTGTCGGTCAAATTTTTAAGTTGAGATTTGAGTTTTAAGAGTAAAATCTTAGAGGATGGAAGTATCATCCACCAATTTGAGTTAAGTTCTTAAGTAAGAAATATCAGAGATTTCAATCGTAAGGGCTCAGACTGACCCCAACTCACTCACTCACCAGATCGTAGAGGAGGAAATCCTAACCAGCTAGTCTGTGATCAGCAAGCTAGAGGAGGTTAACACCATCGTCGCTGAGAGATGTCGAGCCGGGCGTCAGAGTAAGCATCGAAGAACTTTTCAAGTTATTAAGACTTTATGGTTAAGAGTTAAAGATTGGAGATTCATTTCTTTTGGACAATTTGAGTTTTGCCCACGTGTTTAGGGCTTCAATTTGAGATATTAAGATATTTGGGTTTGGTATTTTATCAATACTTGTGTTATTTGAGATTTTTTATTATAACCGGGGTAGAAATGTCTTTTTCCAAATTCAAAGAGGTGGGATGTTCATAAATACTCTTCATCACCCTAATATGTAGTAAGGCCAGTCATATTAGTTTGTTTGGTTTGTCTGTTCCAAAATTTGGTTTGTAAGCTGTACTCTCCTCAAATCAGTGAATTCTCCTCTGCCCGTGGATTAGCTAGCACACATTGTGTTAGTGAATCACGTTAAATTCGTGTTCGTTTGTGTTGATCTGGATTATCAATTGCACGCTTCCGTTCTGACAAGTGGTATCGGAGCCACGGTTGTTATTTGGGTTATTTGAAACTGTCTTGGCGGATTTTTGGGATCGCGCTCCGCGGTTGATTTGGATTATTTGAAACTATCTCCTATGCTGTTGGGATCGCGCTACTGGTAGGCGTATTTGACATTCTTCTCTTCGGCTTCGACTTGAGCTCTTTAATTTGGAGAGGCGTTTGAATATTTGGTGCAAGATTAATTGTCGAGAAGCAGGCTTCCTTGGTGTTCGCGATTTGCAGTGAGCAAATTTGGTTCCCTTGTCACTTTTTTTGGGAATATTGGTAGTTTTGTCTCCGAGCTACTTGGAATTTGGAAATTGGTCTTTGCCTTAAGTTTGAGCTGCGTTTGTGGCTTTGCAAATTTTGAGAAATTTGTTCATTCGTTGGAATTGTTTGAAGTGTTGTGGTAGCTTGAGACTCTGCCGTTTGGTTTGTCTTTTGAAAAAAAAAATTTGGTGGGTAGTTTGGTTAGGGTTCTTTGAAAATTCAGGATGGTTGCCACCAGTATGAAGATTGATAAGTTCAGCGGGCGAAACAGTTTCAGTTTGTGGCAGAAACTACAGGGTTTGTGGGCTTCATTGTTTGAAAAATTGAAGAAGGAAAGCATAGCTGAAGAAGAGTGGATTACTTTGGAGGAGAAAGCTCACTCTACAATCTTGCTTTGTTTGGCTGATGACATCATCACTGAGGTTGCTGCTGAGAAGACTACCGTAGGCTTGTGGTTGAAACTTGAAAGTCTATATATGACAAAGTCTTTAACCAATAAGTTGCATATGAAGCAACGTTTATTCAATTTGCGTATGGAGGAAGGTACATCTCTCAGGAATCATCTAGATCAACTCACTACTATCTTGTTAGATCTACGAAATATTGATGTTAAAGTAGATGATGAGGATGCTGCCTTAATTCTGTTTGTATCTTTGCCACAGTCATATGAGAATTTTGTGGATTCTTTTATTGCTGGGAAAGATAGTTTGTCTTTGGAAGATGTCAGATCTGCTCTACATACTAGAGAAGTTCGACATAAGACGTCTAGTTCTGGTTCGAAAAATCAGGCATTTGGTTGGCTGCTACGAGTAGTAGGAGACAACAATATGGTAATAGGAAGGCGAATATAAATTCGAATTCTGTTGGTTTGAAGAATGATATCTGTCATTATTGTAAAGAAAAAGGGCATTGGAAATTTGATTGTCCTAAGCTAAAGAAAGATCAGGAGAAGAAGGAATCATCCACTGTTGTGGCAGAAGAAATTAACACTGATTCTGAAGATGGTTTAGCCTTAGCAGAGAATGAACAGGTACATCATGAGGATGTGTGGTATTTAGATACTACAGTTGATTATCATGTGTCCAAGCAGGGAGTGTTTTTCAACTTATGAGCAGATAGGTGGAGGACATGTTTCTATGGCCAATGTTGCTATCAGTAAGATTGTTGGAAGAGGCTCCGTCTGTATGAGGACACATGATGGTTCTGTTCGCACCTTGAACAATATTAGACATATTCCAGAGATGACTAAGAATCTGATATCTTGGAGTATACTCGACAACAAATGTTTCATTTTCAAAGGTGAAGGTGGAGTGTTGTCTGTCTACAAAGGTTCTAAGGTGATTTTGAAAGGTTTCAAGCGAGGTGACTTGTATAGTCTACAAGGTTCTGTTTTGACATGTTCGGTTGGTGATAAGTGCACCAAGTAAGATTCGGGCATATTCATGTGTATAATCAGGCGTATTCGGGTTAGATTGTGAGAAAACCATCTCCACCCATTACCCATAATATTTGGGTTAGAGTTTTATCCAGCAGTGGATCTAGGGCTGGGCCACCCCGGGCCATGACCCATCCCTCCTCCGGATCCAGAGCTTGTATAGTGCTTACAAGTATCTCGATTTTAGGTATTCGGCCCAATGCGATTTAAAATTCGATTGAGTGTTATTTGATAATAGGATTTTGTGTAACTAGGAAAACGGTCAATATGAACATATCCAAATCACTACTCAAAATTTAGTCCAGAATTTCTAGCTTGAATGATTTTCATTTGAAAAAAATAATAATAAAACGTAAAAGACTCAGTATAAAGTTTCATTGAAATAAAAAAAATTCCTCTAAACTAAAGTTCACCCTTCCTTGTCAGAACTAAAAAAATCTGAAATCTTCCCAAAACAAAAACAAGAACGAGGAGACCAATGGACTCAAAATGGATTCTTCCACCAGTCAGTTAGGTGCTGGGTTTTTTTCCCAGTCTTTTGATTAAGAAAATATTTACAAACTTGTTGAGTCATCATTTAGATTGCTTAAGATGAGTGGTGCACTAGATCATAGCAGTTCATTATGGTCTTTTGACGAAGAAAATATTTATAAACTTGCTCAATAGTTAAGCCTCGAGACTTTGAAAGATACGAGATGCATTTTTTGAAGAATGAGTTATGTTATTATGCCGCTTATGTGGTTCATAGTTAGGAATATGAAGTTTCTTCCCTTGAAAAATTACTAGAGAAGTTGTGGAAACAGGGATGGACACACAATACAAATTGATTTGCCGGTTGATACAGCTAGTGCTGACGTTGCCCGTTTCAACGACTACAATGAAGAGAAAATTTTCAGCAATCAAACGTGTGAAAAGTAATTTGCGCAACAAAATGAGCGATGAATTTCTCGTCGATTGCTTAATTATTTTCTTTGATAGAGTGTATGTTATTGGTATAGATGAAGATTCTATTATCAATGGATTTGCCAAATTGATTCAGGCCTAATTGTACACTTTTTACCCCTGATTATCTTTAACGTTTGTTGCAATTGAACTCCACAACGGTTGGTTTTACCCGAGGTTGCTTGTATTTTAGTGTGTTTCATATCCTAACAGGTAAAACCAAACCCGGAGTCAAAATTTGGGAGAAAAGGAGCAAAGACCGGGCAAAGAGGTGGAGATAGCCGCAGTTCTCGACCAGATGTTGGAGTTCACGGTCTTACTGGACCGTGAATTGGAGCCATAACCCGTGAAGTGAGGAGAAAACAAAGGGGGTTTTCAAATTAATGGCTCCCAGGCAGTTCACGGTCACTAAGACCGTGAACGGTGGCCACCGACCGTGAACCCAAACAATTGATGCGGTGCGTTTGGGTCGCGGTACAAAGTTCACGGCCAATTTCAATGTTCATGGCCGTGAACTCAGCGCGATCTCCCACATAATAGGAAAGCTGAAAGAAAGAAGAAAGGGGAGAGACTTAGAGTGAGAAAACTTCTCCTTCTTCAGATTTTAGATTGATAAAGTGACGAACCAAAGAAGAGGAAAAGCTAGGGTTTGATCTCCAAGCAAGGATTTGGGGTTTTCTTCAGCACAAAGAGCAAGGCTTGCCTCTTCATGATGGTTTTCCTTTCCCTCTTTTGTGTTTTTCCTTATGCTAGCATGGAGTAGTCCCTTATTTCACTTGGGTGTTTGTAAACCTAGCTACAATTATGTGAATGCTTGTATGAATTGAATGATTTGTGTGTGGATGTGTTTTAATGTGAATGTGGAGTTATTATTCAGAAATGATTGTGTTTTGTGAAAGCCTATCAATCTAATTCCATTCTAACCTAGTTTAGAGAGAACCTTCCTTAACTTAAGAGGCTCTTCTAGAGATGGGTTTCCTTGGGAATTTTATGCCTCCTAGTCTAGGTTAGTTAAAGGGCAAACCTCCTAATTCGTATTAAACACTTAGGGTTTGGTTGTGGGTGGCCATCTGATAGACCGTCATTTACACATGTTTTTACCCCCATTCTTACACCGTTTGAGGTGTTGATTCTCGTGTTTTAGGCCGATTTCACGCTAGGTTGTGCTTGTTTGTGATGTTTCAGGTCCTAGTACGTGAATGAAGGCTTAGGAGCGAGTCTGGGGTCGATTGGACGAAGAACGGACGAATGGCGAGGTTTTTGGGGAGCTGCACGGGCAGACCAGGGAGGCTGCACGGCCGTGCACGGTTGCAAGCTGGCCGTGCGCCTCATGCCGCGGAGATGCACGGGCAGGCCCTGAAGATTGCACGGCCGTGCACCTGGCCGTGCAAGAAGCCTGAGTTCGACTTAAGGGATACGCTGCGTTTCATGGTGCACGGCCAGAATGGTGAGGTGCACGGCCGTGCACCCTGGCCGTGCAACTCGGGAAACCCGGTTTTAAAGCCTAATCCGAGCCAGAAGTGAGAGAACAGAGTTTTCAGAGCAAAAACAGAGCCCTAGAGAGAGAAAGTACGAAGAACACATCCTAGAAGCTGTCTTAGAGCTGGATTTCATCGAATCGAGCCTGGAGATTGTCATAGGAGTGAAAATCATCGTCCCGGAGCAGATTATCCTCATCGTTATGAGTATGACTAATCCGATTCTTGTTTTCTCTTCTCTCTCTATGGAGTAGAACCCTTCTCTCACTTGGGGATGAAGAACCCTAGTTCTATGTGTTAGGGATTGATTGTAATGACTTGGGATGATATTACTGTTTGGTTTTAATCGATTGAGACATGCTTTATTGAGTCAATTGAATCCTGATCAAATTCTCTTGATTTCTGCTTTAACCTATGATAGATAGAATCTGATTAGGTTAAGAGAGCTTCCTTGATTGATAGTGGTGAATTGGTTGTGCGAGAGTCAATCAATTTACTGCTTTGTACTGGAATCTAATTCCAGTAGTGAATTTCTGTTCTTACTGCTTCAGCTTTCTATCCCGGTGAAGACTAGTCGTCTGCCGGGTAGTTAGACTGAGAGGGCTTGGTCAGCTTAAGAGATTCCAAGCTACTGCCGGATCTTCCGCAGTCTAATCAACAGTAAATCAACCCAGGGAATTGCAATTGAACCTAACTAAGGAGCTAGGGGGATTCATTCCCGAGTGACTCTTTCCTGCTTAAGAAAACCGAATAATTTCCTGCTTTATTTCTGCTTTTAGTTTAAACAACAATCACTTACTTTAGTTGGCTAGATAACATAAAATCACTGAGTAAGCAGTAGATCTAGAGCCCGGGTTGATAATATAACTTGCCTGTTACTGCATTCCCGGTCTGCGATTACACTTGGCCGCAGATTGGTGTTGTGTTTTGGCGTGTCAAGTTTTTGGCGCCGTTGCCGGGGACCCCTCTAGGTTATTGGGGAAAAGTGAGAATTTGTTACTCTAGCTTTTTATTTTCTGCTTTTTATTTCTTCCACCTGTGTGCCTTCACGGGTTGTTCCTGCTGATTGTGTGCAGGTAGTGCATGACCCGTAGCCAGTCGGGAGATCTACTACCATTAGACCAGGAGCTTGAACGAACCTGCAGAAACTTCAAGCGGGCTCTAAAGGCGCGACTGGCTGCGGAGGAGGCGCTATCACAGCTGCAGTTAGAGGAGGAAGAAGAAGAGATGGCTGAACCAGGGAACCATGCTGTGATCCCCGAGGAGCAGACCATGGGCTCCTACTGGACCGCTAGGGCTGCGGACATGAGGTCACCCATTCAGCACCCTCAGGTCCCAGCCAACAACTTTGAGGTGAGCACCTCCGTGATCACCATGCTGCGCGGTTCAGTAGTGTTCCGTGGTAAGGAGGGAGAGTGCCCTCGATCACATCTCAGGCGATTCCACGAGCTCATCGATGGAATCAAGATCAATGGGGTACCAGCAGATGCCATCCAGCTGAGGTACTTCCCATTCACTCTGGAGGGGCAGGCCAAGGAGTGGCTAGACACTCGATCTCCGGGCTCCATCACCACGTTCGCCAACCTGGCGGACAAGTTCCTCACCCGCTACCATCCTCCATCCAAGACAGCTGACCTGCAGAAGCAAATTACACATTTTGCTCAGGATGAGGATGAGACCATCAGGGATGCATGGGAGAGGTACAACAGTCTTTTCCTCAGGTGTCCCAATCATGGTTTCAACAATGCGTTCAAGGTGGGCACCTTCTATCACGCCCTCTTCCCGGAGGACAAGCAGCTGATCGATTCGGTTTGTGGCGGGAACATGCTGACCAAAACCCCGCCACAGCTGAATCAACTCTTTGAAGAGATGGCGGAGAATGGTTATGATTGGGGCACTGCCAGGAGATCGAGGAGAGCACCAGGCCGGGGTGTGCATGCTGTGGGCACCCAGTCATCTGATTTGGTGCAGGTAGTATCGAAGCTGGTCTCAGCTATCGATCGTTCCAGGATGATTCCAGGGACCGGACAGCAGCAGGCGATGCTCTGCCAGTGGTGCGAGAGCACCCATCATATGGTGGAAGACTGCCAGGCGATGAAGGAATCGACCACGCCCCAGGAGCAGGTGAACTTCATCAACAATGTCAGGCGCAATGACCCCTACAGCAACACGTACAATGACGGGTGGCGCCAGCATCCTAACTTCTCCTGGACTGGGCCAAATCCCAGACCACCAGCTCCACAGGGACCACCGGGCTTCCAGAGGCCACCATATCAGCCCAGACAGGGGCAATTCCAGCAGCCAGGTGCAGCCCCTGCTGCCCCAGTGCAGAATGATCAGATGGCTGAACTGCGGGACTTGGTGGGTTCTCTTGCCAGTGTTAGTGCTCAGAAATTCAACACCTTTGAGCAGTTCATGGAGAAGGCCTCGGGTCAACTCCTGGCTCTGGAAGCTGGTCAGAGGAATACACGGGCTGTTTTGCAGGATATCCAGACCCAGCTGGGGAGCGTAGCCCAGGCAGTGGCTCAAAGGGCTCCTGGTACTCTACCAGGGCAGACCATCCCTCACCCGCCGACCCCGAATGAGCGCTGCAATGCCATCATGACCAGGAGTGGCAAGATGACTGTTGATCCCCCTGCTCGGGAACCGGAGAAAGAAAGCCCTGTCTTAGCGGCTCCAGCGGTTGAACAGGAAGTAGAGAAGGAAGTTGAGGTGCCTGCACCTAAACCGCAACCAGTAGTGAAGGAGTATGTCCCTAAACTCCCTTTCCCTACTCGGTTGCACAAAGACAGGCTGGAGGCAGAGTTCGAGAACTTCATGGCCATGCTTAAGAAGCTGAATGTCCAAGTGCCCTTCCTGGAGGCACTATCGCAAATGCCAAAGTATGCGAAGTTTCTGAAAGAGCTTCTCTCAAAGAAGCAGAAGCTGAGTGAGCTGGCCACAGTAGAGCTCAACGAGGAATGCTCGGCTATTCTGCAAAACAAGCTTCCGCAGAAGAAGAAGGACCCAGGTAGTTTTACCATCCCGTGCTCTATTGATAAATTGCATGTAGAGAAGTCCTTGGCGGATTTAGGTGCTAGTATCAATGTTATTCCATATAAATTGTTCATGAAACTAGGCCTAGGTGAACCCCGTGCTACTAGGATGACCCTTCAATTAGCTGACAGATCTGTAGTGCATCCTAGGGGTATAGTGGAAGACCTTCTGGTTAAGGTTGGCAAATTCACATATCCCGTGGATTTTGTTATCTTGGACATCAGTGAGGACACAGAAGTGCCTCTTATACTGGGAAGGCCTTTCCTGGCCACCGCCAAGGCTCTCATAGATGTGCATGATGGGACCTTAGTTTTGAGGGATGGCGAAGAGCGAATAACGTTTTCTGTTGCTGATACTATACCTGCTTCGTCACCTCTGCATGCTGTATCTCACCAGGAGCACGAGTCTGTCGTGTATCCTTCTGTGCTGCCCATTTTGCAGGAACCGCCTCCCACACCTTCGCCGCCACTCCGGACCACTCCGTCACCCAAGGAACAGATCAAGGAGGAGTGGCGGCCGAAACTGCAGGCAGCTAAGCCTGCTCGAAAGGAAGCCGGAGACCACTATGAGCTGGTCCCGCCCCCTCCTTGGCCATCCGAGTATTCACTCGCTTGCATCCTACCGGATGGCCAAGTTGAGCTGGCGAATGCAGGTGGCCACATTCGTCGCGTGCATGGCCACCATTTGAAGCTGTACCTCAAGAGCGATGTGGATCCGCTCTTGAAGGCACCTGATCCTACACTTCCCTGAGCACCCACTCACTGGCGTCCAGCTAAAAGACGGTAAAGAAGCGCTTGTGGGGAGGCAACCCCACCGAGGTTTGCATTTTCTTACTCTTTTTCCTTTGATTTTGTGTGTTTTTGAGTCTTGAGACGTTGATCCAGAGTTACGTGTCGTTTTTGAGCGAAAACAGGTTGATTTCGGGACTCCAACAAGTCGCACGGCCGGGACCACAACTTGCTTGGCCGTGCGGGCACCCCCCTTGGCCGTGCTAGCTCTCGGCCAAAAGCGCACGGCCAAAAGCGCTTATTGCACGGCCGTGCGCTCATCCTGGCCTGGCCGTGCGTCTTGCACGGGCACAATAATGCCTCGCATGGCCGTGCGGGTATTCCCCCTTGGCCGTGCGAGCTCTCGGTAAGGATGGCACGGCCATATGTGCCAGGTGCACGGTCGTGCGCCTCGGCTCGGCCAGGCCGTGTCGGCCTGCACGGGCAGAAGCACGCCGTGCACGGCCGTGCGCGCCTGCCCGTGCGGCCGGGGCTGCTTCAGCTGACGGTGATGATGGAACTGCTGGCGCTGCTGCTGATGATGCGTTCATGAACGACATCGACCTCGACGATCTTGGCGACGAGTAGGCTGTACTCGTTGCCCGTCTCAGTGTGTTTTCTTTTTCATTTTAGACTTTTGTGTGTTTGCTCCATGTGTGCGGAGCTTGAACTTAGTGTCGTTTGTTTTTGTTTTTGGTTTTTCCTTTGTGGTTTGATGTAGCCGTCTGGGCTAACACTTATCCCTAACGCACAGTGTGCTAGTGTGTTTCTGATGTTCGATTTGTGCAGCATTGTCCACTCTCCCGTTCGTTTCTCGCTGACTGGTCCACTTCCAGTCCCCCAGCAGTGTTCCTACCCGGTAACATCGTTCCCCTTATCTTTCCCTCTGCTCCATTGAGGGCAATGTCGTTCTTAAGTGTGGGGGGATGCTTTGTATCGGTTGGAATATTTATGATGGTGCTTGGAGCCTAGTCCGCTGTCCGAATCTTACGATTTGAGGGCTCCAAGTACTGCTGTTTGATCATATTGGCACTGTGTTTTGATGGATGAATTGATTGGTTTTCGGATTAATGCATGACAACTTGTTTGCGACTAGGACAACCTATGATGAGGACTGAGATGTGCAGTAGAACGATGTAGGGGTTCAGTTTTTCAACTGTTTGCTTGCCAACTGTGACTTGATCTGACTTGATCTGATTACTTGTTCTTAACAGTCGTTTATGCATCTAGTTCAGGGTAGCAGAATATGAGATAGAGCATATAGGTAGCCATGTGAGATTTGAGCCTGCTCGTTTCTTTCTTGTGCGATAGATCCCTCTTCCATGATGTGTAGCATTCACGTTGTCACTAGCTGAGATGATGGGGGCATAGGATTAGCCCACGCCCAAAACTGACTGTCCTGATGTGTCATATCCCCTAGTCAGCCCCTTTGAGCCGTGTGTTATCCTTTCTTTTGGTCTATAATGAAAAGAAATCACCCTTGTTGCATCTTTTAGAAGGTTCCACAGAGTGGTTTTTATATATTCTCTGCTGTTTCTGCTAAAGTCTATGGGAGTGTTGGAGGTAGTGCTTAAAAGTTGGGCGGATGTTTGAAATATGTGCAGGAGTGGTGGCTCTCTTAAGAAATGAAAAGAAAAATGAAAGTGAAACAAAGAAAAAAAAAATTGAAAGTAAAAGAGAGCCACTACCAAAAATCTGAATAATACCCAGTAAGTAGTGTTTCTTAGCAGTCTGGCTTGGAAATGCTGATGTTTATGCCTCCTTCGCTCTTGTGCTCTTAAGATATCGAGTAATGCAGGATAGCAGAAAGAAAATACCGGGTTGCTGACTGTGTTTGTGTGTTCGGGAAATGTGGAACCTTTTGCTATGAATACTTCCACCACCTAAAAGGCCTTTTCCCCATGTCCAAGACCCTAGCCAGTCATTTGAACCTGTGTCTAAGACCTCCTGATTAGTTAGTGGTGACACCCCATATGTGAACTCTAGCATTTAGAGGCTGCCATCATGGTGAAGAGATGATAGGGATTGAGAGAAATAGCATGCGCATCTTTCGCATCAAATTGTCCTGACCCCACTGGTCGAGAGTGAGTGATTCATTTTCATTTTCTATATGCTCTTGTACCCCGGTGAGGACCTAGATTGCTCGGTCTCTATTCTGATGTCTTGAGTTGGATGCATGAGTTGACTGTTTTGAGTAAGTGGTTGAATCAAGTCTAGGTTGGCCAGTGAACAGACGAGAGACTCTTCCTTTACTCGATTTGCTGCACTCGAATGTCCTTTGTGGTGGTTGTCCAGGTTGTTATTGAGGTTGTGCATGTATTGATGTTTGAAAACCAGTGCGATTCACGTGTTCTGTGCCTTTATGACTTGTCCCCAATGTTGGTTGATTGAAATGTGTAGGCTTACCTAGTGTCTGACTTGGTTTGCTTGGGGACAAGCAAACGGTTAAGTGTGGGGGAGTTTGATAGACCGTCATTTACACATGTTTTTACCCCCATTCTTACACCGTTTGAGGTGTTGATTCTCGTGTTTTAGGCCGATTTCACGCTAGGTTGTGCTTGTTTGTGATGTTTCAGGTCCTAGTACGTGAATGAAGGCTTAGGAGCGAGTCTGGGGTCGATTGGACGAAGAACGGACGAATGGCGAGGTTTTTGGGGAGCTGCACGGGCAGACCAGGGAGGCTGCACGGCCGTGCACGGTTGCAAGCTGGCCGTGCGCCTCATGCCGCGGAGATGCACGGGCAGGCCCTGAAGATTGCACGGCCGTGCACCTGGCCGTGCAAGAAGCCTGAGTTCGACTTAAGGGATACGCTGCGTTTCATGGTGCACGGCCAGAATGGTGAGGTGCACGGCCGTGCACCCTGGCCGTGCAACTCGGGAAACCCGGTTTTAAAGCCTAATCCGAGCCAGAAGTGAGAGAACAGAGTTTTCAGAGCAAAAACAGAGCCCTAGAGAGAGAAAGTACGAAGAACACATCCTAGAAGCTGTCTTAGAGCTGGATTTCATCGAATCGAGCCTGGAGATTGTCATAGGAGTGAAAATCATCGTCCCGGAGCAGATTATCCTCATCGTTATGAGTATGACTAATCCGATTCTTGTTTTCTCTTCTCTCTCTATGGAGTAGAACCCTTCTCTCACTTGGGGATGAAGAACCCTAGTTCTATGTGTTAGGGATTGATTGTAATGACTTGGGATGATATTACTGTTTGGTTTTAATCGATTGAGACATGCTTTATTGAGTCAATTGAATCCTGATCAAATTCTCTTGATTTCTGCTTTAACCTATGATAGATAGAATCTGATTAGGTTAAGAGAGCTTCCTTGATTGATAGTGGTGAATTGGTTGTGCGAGAGTCAATCAATTTACTGCTTTGTACTGGAATCTAATTCCAGTAGTGAATTTCTGTTCTTACTGCTTCAGCTTTCTATCCCGGTGAAGACTAGTCGTCTGCCGGGTAGTTAGACTGAGAGGGCTTGGTCAGCTTAAGAGATTCCAAGCTACTGCCGGATCTTCCGCAGTCTAATCAACAGTAAATCAACCCAGGGAATTGCAATTGAACCTAACTAAGGAGCTAGGGGGATTCATTCCCGAGTGACTCTTTCCTGCTTAAGAAAACCGAATAATTTCCTGCTTTATTTCTGCTTTTAGTTTAAACAACAATCACTTACTTTAGTTGGCTAGATAACATAAAATCACTGAGTAAGCAGTAGATCTAGAGCCCGGGATGATAATATAACTTGCCTGTTACTGCATTCCCGGTCTGCGATTACACTTGGTCGCAGATTGGTGTTGTGTTTTGGCGTGTCACCATCCAAACTCCAATTCGAGGGTGAAGTCTAACCATTCCTTAGTCGATAGGTTGAGAGGGTTATATTAGTGGCTTGCATCGTATCCCATTCCTCAACCTAGAGTCTAAGAGGGTAACTTTGGTTGCTTGTTAAACTACCCTGCGGTTATGACCCCCTAACCACACACGGTCGTTAGATTCTTCGATTCATAATTGTTAACTAGGGGGTGCAATACTCGGGTGAAGCTTTCTCAACTAGAGTCAAATCCATTTTACCTTTGCAAAGTAATTTAGTTTTCAACCTTTGTTTTCACCAAAACCGATCCGCTAGATAATGTTTCAAACAGTCGAAGTAGCGGTACATGGACTGGCCCGGGTCGATATTTAAAAATACTTTCCCTATATTGCATCCATCTAAGGTTTATACTTGGACCTTAGGTGAGATTTCATTGTGATAGTTAGAGCGAGTCAAGTTTTTGGCGCTGTTGCCGGGGACAACTGTCTGTTATCGTGAAAAGTTTGTTTGGTGTTAATCTACCTTTTAATTTTTGTTGTGTTAAGTTGTGAAGTGTTTGCTTGTGGATGTCTAAGGTTTATACTATGGGCTATTACATGGCTCCACGGGCGGAGGATATCCAATCTCCCATCTTACATCCACCCGTGGCCGCCAACAACTTTGAGATCAAGCCCTCTCTCGTGACGATGATTCAGCAAAATGCTTACTTCCAAGAGATATCCCATGAATCACCACGAGAGAATTTCCAAAGGTTTCTTGATCTAGGAGGAAGTTTGAAGATTAATGGCGTCCCAAGGAGGCATTGCAATTGAAGCTCTTTCCATATTCTTTGGCAGGGAAGGCACTCCGATGGCTCAACAACTGTCCGGCTCTATCCATCACCTCTTGGGACGATCTCCTCAACAAGTTCATGACCCGATACTGTCCTCCTTCCAAAACGGCCGAGTGGAGAAAGAAGATCACTCACTTTGAGCAAGAGGAGGATGAGACATTGAGGGATGCATGAGAAAGGTTCTCAGACTACTTCCTCCAATGACCTCACCATGGATTCGAGGAGAAGTTTCGAATAGAAACTTTCTATGGAGGACTCATTCAAGATGACAAGATCCTCATTGACTCTCTATGCCAAGGGATGTTGATGAACATGACCCTCCTCAACTAATCGAATTACTTGAAGATATGGATCTCAAAGAATATTATTGGGGCTTGACAAGAAGTGGGAAGAGAAGCAATGAAAGAGGAGTAAGAAGTGTGGGAGCAAGTGCTCCACTTGAAGCAAAGCTTGATAAGTTGATCGAAGTGATCCTTGAGGACAAGAAGCAAGGGAAGAGAGCAGTGGTGTCTTGTGATTGGTGTTCGAGCACCAATCAAGAGATTGCGGATTGCCAAACGATGAAGGAGTCAAGTACCCCTGAGGAGCAAGTGAGTTTTACTGTCAATGCTAGAGGGAACAACCCTTATAACAACACATACAACCCCAGGTGGCGCAATCATCCAAACTTCGCTTGGTCTTCCCCTACCAATCCAAGACCTCCCGGTTTCCAAGGTCCAACGGGAAACTACCAACCTCGGCCAACATTCATCCAACAAAGGCCTCAGTTCCGAAACTCGAACTTCCAACAACCATACGATACACAAGGTGGTCAAGGTTTTAAACAACCAGAACAAGGTGACAAGCTCTCTAAACTAGAAGACCTTGTTAACACCTTTATGAGTACAAGCTCTCAAAAGTTCGAGAAGTTTGAGAAATTCATGGATGTGGCAACATCCAAGTTTACCTCGGTTGAGGCAGGACAACGAAGCCATCAAACGAGTCTCCAAAACTTGGAAGTGCAAATTAGCAATCTTGCCGGAATCCTCACCGAGAGACCAAAGGGAGCCCTACCCTCTCAAACCATTGGCAACCCCAAAGATCAAGCTGGGTGCAATGTGATTTACTTGAGGAGCGGGAAGGTGACCCCGGAGGTCGTTGCCCAAGAAGTTAATGAGAAGGAAGACCCTCTACCTGAGGGTGAAGAAGAGGAAACCTCGGGGGAAAAGAGAGGAGTGACAAGGAAGGCACGACCGACGCCACCACCTGTGGCTGAGTACACACCTCCCCCACTTTTCCCACAAGGGTTCACAGGAAAGATTGGAAGCGGAATGTGGAGGCTTCATGTGGATGCTCTGGGAGCTCCACCTCAGCATTCCCTCCTCAAAGAAATGAACCACATGCCAAGATATTCAAAGTACCTCAAGAGGCTTCTAGCCAAGAAGCCAAAGGTTGAAGACCTCGCCAACGTCACGTTGGGCGAGGAGTACTCTGCGTTCATTCTAAACAAGTTTCCCAAGAAGCGGTAAGATCCAGGTAGTTGCACCATCCCTCTTTGCATTGGTGCATGTTATATAGAGAATTCTTTGGCGGATCTAGGTGCGAGCGTAAATGTGATTCCCTTTAAGCTTTATAAGAAGTTGAATTTGGGTGAACTAAAAACCACTAAGCTTAGCGTCACATAGGCCAATCGATCAGTCATTAGTCATAGGGCATAGTGGAGGACGTACTAATATGAGTGGAGAAATTCTGTTATCTGACGGATTTTGTGATCCTGGATATAAGTGAGGATTCTGAGATGCCACTCATACTAGGACGCCCCTTTCTAGCCACCTTTCTAGCCACTCATACTAGGACGCCCCTTTAATTGATGTAAATGAGGGAACTTTGATTCTAAGAGATGGTGATAAGTGAAGTACCCTACGGATTGATCCTAAGCCTACAAGTGATGGAAGTGAAAAAAGTGGAATCACACTACAAAAAAGGCAGTCATTACCGACAACACGATTTTCATCATAATTGATAAAATTTCGTCGGAAAATATCTTTTACGACGACATTTCCTCGTCAAGCGTCATCAGAAATTGTCCTGTCGCTGATAAAATATTATTGACAAGTCGTCAAATTTACAATATTATTGACGACATAAATACTGACAGGCCAAAACACAACACCAAACTGCGACCAAGTGAAATAGCAGTCCGGGAATGCAGTAAAGTGGCAAGTTCTATTATCAACCCAGGGTCTAGATCTACTGCCTACTCCATGATTATCTATTATCTAGCCAACTAAGTCAAGTGATTGTTTTTTTAAGCAAAATTAGTAAGAAAGCAGGAATTGGTTCGGTTTTCTCAAGCAAAGAAGAGTCACTCGGGAATGAGTCCCCCTAGCTCCTTAGTTAGGTCTCAATTGTAATTACCCTGGGTTGATTTACAGTTGATTAGACTGCGGAAGATCCGACCGTAGCTTGGAATCTCTTAAGCTGACCAAGCCCTCTCAGTCTAACTACCTGGCAGACGACTAGTCTTCACCGGGATAGAAAGCTGATGCAATAAGCACAGAACTCCACTACTGGAATTGGATTCCAGTACAAAGCAATAAACTGACTAACTCCCGTATAGCCAATCTCCTACTACCGAATGAAGAAGCTCTAACAGCCTAATCAGATTCTATCTATCTCAGGTTGCAGCAGAAATCAAGAAAAGCTGATCAGACTTCAATCAATTCAATAAAACATGCATCATTCGATTAAAAACAGACATTATAATCATCCCAAGTCCTTACAATCAAATCTCTAACACATGGAACTAGGGTTCTTCATACCCAAGTGAGAGAAGGTTTCTACTCCATAGAGAGAGAGAGGAAAACAGAATACAAAGCAGTCATACTCATAACAATGGGAAGAATCTGCTCTGGGATGATGATTTCTACTCCTATGACGATCTCCAAGCTCGATTTGATGAAACCCAGCTCCAAGATTGCTTCTAGGATGTGTTCTTCGCACTTTCTCTCTCTAGGGCTATGTTTTTGAACTGAAAAATCGATCCTCTCCCTTGTGGCCCGAAATTGGGTAAAAACCAGAAAATCCCGATCACACTGGCATGCCAGATGCCCGTGTGAGATACAAAACGCCGCGTTTTCAATAGTTGCACTTCAGGCTACCTACACGGCCGTGTGGCTCACCCAGTCTGCCCGTGTGAAGCCTCGCATAATCCCACACGGCCACATTGCTCCTTCACACGACTGTGTGGGTTTTATTTGTGCCCGTGTGGCTTCCTCAGTGACTCGCCACGCGTCCGATCTTCGTCCAATCGACCCCGAACTCGCTCCCAAACCTTCATTCACTTACTAGGACCAGAAATATCACAAACAAGCACAACCTAGCGTGAAATCGGCCTAAAACACGAGAATCAATACCTTAAACGGCTCCAAAATAGGGGTAAAAACATTTGCAATTAATGGTTTATCAAACTCCCCCACACTTAGCCTCTTACTTGTCCCCAAGCAAACCAAGTCAGACACAAGGTAAGCTCACATATTTCAATCATACCAACATTGGGGACAAATCATATAGGCACAGAACACGTGAATCATACTGGCTTTCAAACATCAACACACAAACAACTTCAATAGCAACCTGGACAACCACCACGGAAGACATTCGAGTGCAGCAAAGTCGAGTAAAGGAGAAGTCTCCCTTCTATTCATCAACCAACCTAGACTTGACTCAACCACTTACTTAAAATAGTCAACTCATGCATAAAAATCAAGACATCAGAATCAAGATCGAGCCATCTAGGTCCTCACCGGGGTAAAGAGTGTAAAAAACAAGGAAATGAATCGCTCACTCTCGACCAGTGGGGTCAGGACAATTTGATGCGAAAAATGCGCATACTTATTCTCTCAATTTCTAACATCTCTTCACCATGACGGCAGCCTCTATATGTTAGAGTTCAAATAAATGGTTGTCATCACTTACTAATCCGGAGGTCTTAGACACAGGTTCAAGTGACTGGCTAGGGTCTTGGACATGGGGAAAAGGCTTTTTAGGTGGTGGAAGTATTCATAGCACAAGGTTCCACATTTCCAAACCCAACAAACTCACAGTCAATCAAACCAGTACTTTCTTTCTGCTATTCTGCATTACTCAAATTCTTCAGAGCACAAGAGCGAAGGAGGTCACATAAATGCTAGTATTTCTAAGCCAGACTGCTAAGAAACACCACTTAATGGGCACTATTCAGATTTTTGGTGGTGGATCTCTTTTGCTTTCATATTTTCTTTGTTTTTCTTTCATTTTTTCCATTTCTTAAGAGAACCACCACCTCTGCACATTTTCAAACACCTGCCCAACTTTTTAAGAACTACCTCCAACTCTCACATTACATTTAGCAGAAACAGCGGAGAACATGTAAAAATCACTCTGTGGAACCTTCTAAAAGATGCAAAAGGGTGATTTTTCATTGCAGACCGAAAGAAAGGAGAACACACGGCTCAAAGGGGCTGACTAGGGGGTATGAGACACCAGGACAGTCAATTTGGTCGTGGGCTAATCTTATGCCTCCATCATCTTAGCTAATGACAACGTGAATGCTACACATCATGGAAAAGGGATCTATCGCACAAGAAAGAAACGAGCAGGCTCAAATCGCACATGGCTACCTATATGCTCTATCTCTCATTCTGATCCTTGAACTAGATGCATAAGAGACTGTCAAAGACAAGTAATCAATCCAAGTCACAGTTGGTAAGCAAACAGTTGAAAGACTGAACCCTACACAATTCCACTAGCGGATTGAAATACTGCAGAAGACTGGAAGTGGACCAGTTAGCGGGGGACATATGGAACGAACAGGCATTTCTGCACTAAAGGAACATCAAGAACACACTAGCACACCGTGCGTTAGGGATCAGAGTTGGCCCAGATGGCCACAAAATAAACAGTCCACAAAAGAAAACCAAAAGGACAAAAAAAATGACAGACTCAGTTCAAGCTCCTCAAACACATGGAGCAAACATAAAAAGTCTAAAACAAAAACACACTGAGGGGCGACGAGTACAGCCTACTCGTCGCCATGGTTGTCGAAGTCGATGTCATTCATGAATGCATCATCATCATCAGTTGGGGGAGGTGGAAGTGGAGAGTCCTCCTAGGGAGTCCTCCAGACTGGCTGCTCGCCCGGTAGCAGCTGGAGCAGATGCCCCTGGACCTCCTGCATGCGCCAAGAACGGGCCTGCTCCCTCTCGATATGAGCCAGGGTCACCCCCTGCTGGGTCTCCATCCGATCGAGACGCTCATCATAAGCAGCCATCCGGGTCTGGTACTCGGCATGGTGAGCCGAATACTGCTGCTGGAACTGGAGCTGATTATCGTAGAGCTGCTAATTCTGGAGACGCAGCTGCTTGAACTGCTGAGTGAAGTAGTCCTGGCCGGGGAAAGTGGAGCTGCCACCCCCGTACTCGAAGGTGGTGGGGCGGGCGGCAGCAGTATCATCCACATCCTCGGGATGGACATCCTCATCAGTCGCACCCTCAGGAACCTTCGGCTGGTCCTCCTCTGGGATCTGAGGTTGAGGAAACCCCTCGATGCACTTGACTCCTCGCTCTTCTCGAAGCAGGTGCATGCGACCTTTCGTAAATGAGCCAAAGACACTGGTGTCTCCCTGCTCTGTGCACCCCTGCAGTGATATCTGGGAGTAGGCGGCCAGGCGGGTGATGAGGGGAGTGCAGTGGAGTTTCTTCAGCTTGGAAGCACTCTTGTCGAAGGTCCTCGCCACCACCGAACCCAAGTGGAGGGGATGATCCCTCTGGCGCATAGACTGGATGAAGTACATGGCTCTCTTGGTGATGGCGCTGGCACTGTCCGAGGCTGGAATGTAAGACTTGGCCAGCAAGTGATGGAGAATGTGGTTGTCGAGCTGCAATGTGCTGGCTTTCGTCTTCCCCACCGAGAAGGGACGCTGGCCTGGCCGAGCGAGGCGGGTGTACAGTGTCTAGAAGTTCACCCCCTCTGGCTCGAGAAGCTCGGTGACGTAGTCCCTGTCATCGACCAGGCCGAGGTCGAGGGCGGTCGCCAGCTCGTGGTAGCTCATGGATCGGGGTGCACCGCCGAGCCTGAACTTGACGGCTTCTCCGTCCTTCCAATTCTGCGTGTCGGCGTGCTGGAAGGTCGTGTAGAACTCAAGCACGAGCTCGTGGTAAACCTTCTCGCGAATGCAGAGTAGGCGGCGCTAGGGGCGGTTGGTGACAATGGCGGAGAAGTGCTCGTAGCAGTGCAGCTTCTCAAACTCTCGCTTGGACCAGCAATGATGCTGCCCAAACTGGCAGGCCAGGACGCTCTTAAAACGATCCTGGTGGGGACCCCTCCTCAAATCTCGAATAAACGGGTGGTTGAGGTCGGGCTTCGTCATTCTCCTGCAAAAGAACAACCCAAAGTGGAACCAAAAGAGCCAAGGAAAATGTTAATCACACCCCCACACTTAAGAACAGAAAACAGCCGAACCATGGTTTCATCCATAGTTCGGGGGTCAAGAACTCGATTAAACAAGCATAATTGGGGTGAGGGTGCACATCCATGAAAAAGTAGACAACTCAAGGTTCACATCCATAACAAACACATCCAGAAAGCACATCATTAAGGGCTCCAACCGACTCCCCCAAACTGGTACGAAAACAGGCATTTCATCGAACACCTTGTGTGCACTATTAAGTTAAGCATGAAATTGACAAAATTCTTACACACAAGGGCTCAAACAAGCAAGGGGGACATTGCCCAACACAATTCATACATAATCCAAGCATTCCCCTCAATCAATTGCACACAATTCAAAGGATTCAAAGTGGTTCTCCATAAATAACATAGTTAAGGTCAAAATCAAACCTGGAGACTCAAGTAGAGGTGTAGGGGATGATGAGGTGAAAGAAATGGAAGCGACGAAATGCCGAAAAACTGCCCGGAAGTGCTGGTCGGAGCCTCGCCGGGAATCTCCTCCGGCTACTAAAAATAAGTCCAAATCACCTCAAAATCGAGGGATAGGCCGATAATGGGGAGGAAAGGGTGGGTGTAGTGTTGGATTTCTGAAAAACCGACCAAAAATGGCCAAAAATCGACAAAGAGGGCGGAAAGTCGCGGTTTTCCGGCGAGGGGGAGAGGATTCCGGCGAGTGAAGTTTGAATTTCTGACCACTCGACCGTGTCGGCCGAATTTATAGCCCGTGGCTCGGCCACACGGGCAGGCCGAGGAATTCCACACGGCCGTGTGGAAAATGTCGAGAGCTCACATGGGCAGGGGCCAACTCCATACGGCCGTGTGAGGGACCCCTCTTGCCCGTGTGAAAAGTCCAGGGATTCCACACGGCCAAAACCCATTTCCACACGGCCGTGTGACTTTCAGGGCTAGCCGTGTGGTCTGCCAGAACTCCGAATTTGACGTGTTTTCACTCCAGAACGACATACAACTCGTGAACAACACCTCAAGACTCAAAAACACAAAAAATCAAAAGGAAAAAAGTAAGAAAATGCAAACCTAGGTGGGGTTTCCTCCCCACAAGCGCTTCTTTACCGTCTTTTAGCTGGACGCCAGTAGAGGAACTAAGGGTCCTCGAGCTTGATCAGCAGCTCTGCGCGCTCGACAACACCTCCCAAGTACAACTTTAGGAGGTGGCCATTCACCTTGAATGGCTCAGTTTGAGTATTGATGATCTCCACCGCACCGTGCGGGAAAACTTGGGTGACCGTGAAGGGTCCCGACCACCTCGAACGTAGCTTGCCCGGGAAGAGTTTCAGGCGTGCATTGAAGAGAAGAACACGGTCACCTACTTGAAAGTCCTTCGGGCCCCTTAACCGAGCGTCGTGGAGACGCTTGGTTCGCTCCTTGTAGAGCAGGGTGTTCTCGTAGGCGTGGTAACGCCATTCCTCCAACTCCAGCAGTTGCAATTTACGTTCAGTACCTGTAACACTCAAATCCATGTTTAGCAGCTTAATGGCCCAGAAGGCCTTGTGCTCTAGCTCTACTAGCAGATGACACGCCTTCCCATAGACAAGCCTATAGGGAGAAGTGCCAATCGGGTTTTTATAGGCCGTCCTATATGCCCAAAGAGCATCATCGAGCTTGGTGGACCAATCCTTGCGGGACTGATCCACCGTCTTTTCAATTATCCGTTTAAGTTCCCGGTTCGTCAGCTCGGCTTGCCCATTTGACTGGGGGTGGTAAGCCACCGACACCTGATGCTTAACACCATAGCGAGAGAGGAGTTTAGTGAATTGCCCTTGAAAATGGGTTCCTCTATCACTAATGATGGCGCGGGGTGTCCCAAACCGGGAGAACAGTTGCTTCAGAAATAAGCAGACCCGTCTTGCATCATTGGTGGGCATGGCTTGAGCTTTTTCCCACCTAGAGACGTACTCCACTGCAACCAATATGTACAGA